TTCAGGCTGCCTGTATGGATTTACATAAAAATAATGCTATTATGTTGGTGTGCAGGTACTTAAATACCTGGTCTTTCTACCATGTATGCAGAGATGCCATACTGCACTCTCACCTTTATGCATCTGAAAAGACACATGAGTTTTCACTAACCCACAGGTCAACAAAAATATTAGATTTATAAAGTCCATGCACTAAGTTTAGGGTTTTTTTCTTTTCTTTTCTTCAACTTTCAAGATACTTTTAACTGTTGAAGGAAATCCACTCACTGAGGTAAGGAGAGGGCTGTAGTGCACTTCAGTGGGTCATCCAGTTTCAGCAACTGGAAAACTAAGACTAGCACGAGAATATCAAATTTTGTTCAAACTTCTTAAGTACTACACTGAAATGCAAGGAATAACAGTACATAGGCGGCAGGCAACTGGTGTCACTCGGAAAAGTACAAAGCCAGAGCTCAGCTAATTAACAGCTAACAGCCCTTAAAATGGCCATGTAACACTAAACTGGAGTTTCCCTAAAATAATGAGTAAAACTGGAATCTTTTAAGTGGTAAGAAAAATGCTGAAGCTGTGTCTGCTGTAGTCTGGCTTTGGGTGAAGCTCAATGGAAATTACTCCTAGTTAGATATAAGCATCCCAGACTCTTTGAACCTATTTTCTCCTGTGTAATAATGGCTTTTCATTTCAAGCTCATTTAATTTGAACAACCTTGTCACACCTACTTAAGTAATCCAAGCATTTTCAGCACTAGTTGGAAGAAGCATACATAAACTGTTCATCTTCAGAGAACTCCCTAATCATGGGAAACTATGTGCAGTGGTTCAGCCTCTGCAGTGGTTCATGCTTTCAAATTATTGTCTGACTAGAGACCATTCTATAGTCTTTTAGCAGGATGAAATTTGGAAGCATTTTGATTATTCCATGACTTTCTACTGCTGTAACTCCATGTAGGAACTTTTGTTTAGAAAGGTGTTCATAGCATTATAACTGATTAGATGGAGTTGTTAAAACCAAAGCAAATGCTAGCTCAGGGCTTTAATCAATCTTAAATTTCTCTTAAGTACAACGCCTGCTACTCAACCTGCCTCTTGTACAACTTTTTCATGAACAAAATGTTTACTGCTCTTGCTTTCAGCATAACTGCATGTAGTCCAGCCACATTTTTTGTTTCTTTGTTCCTCTTCTGTTTTAAACTCATAGCTAGGCAGTAGGATGTCAGATCTCTGTGGGATTTTCTAGCAAAATAGCTTAAAACAGAAATCTTACAGAAAAGCATAAATTAGCTTTTGTAGAGAAGTAAAAATTGATAGACTGAGAAGGAAATGTACTACTCTTTCATGAATTTCAGATTACGTGAAATGTGCTACAACTTTACCTACATTAGGGAAATTATATGGGAAGATAAAATTAAAACCTTAAGTTACAAAAGCCTGAGGTGAATTACTAACACTCGGGAACTACTTGTGTTATAGAAGTCTCCTGAACAGGACAGACACATTAAAATTGGATGTAAATTTTGAGGATTTAATTCTAATTTTATGTTGAACATCTCCAAAGAGGGTTAAGGATTAATTTCAGTATATCCTTGTAGACATGAAGTCAATTAGAGGTATGACTGCAGTAAAGCTCTGAGCAAAAATATAGTGTATTAAGCAACAAAAATCAAGAAAACAAAAATAGGTTTGTAGTGAACTTAAAGACACAGTTCCTCCATTTCCCATGTATCTTCACTGGTTTCCAGACTTGCTTCAGACCTTCACATCAGAAATATGATTATAATCAATTTGCTTGTGTTACCTTATGCTTCACACCTGTTTTATGTTAAATCTCACTGAAGTCCTTTAAGTTAAGAATCAGCCTTTGAAGAGGAAGAAGAAATATGGATTTCCATGCTAAGAAACAGCACATATTCCAAATAATCCAACTCTCTAAGAAAAAGCTCCCAAGTGATGGTGGAGAACAGATACAGATCCTCTGATGCGTGCTTCAGGATTTCAGTGAAAGCTCCAACTCTCAATGGAGCAGGGTAAGTTATGCACTTTCCTGGCTGCATAAACTTGAATGTACGTGGAACAGCTGAGTACTGGTACCCTGCCAGGATCTGTGCTGTTCTACATGCACTAAAAAACCCCCACCTAATCTACCACTGTCTTTGCAACAGGCTCCCTCAGCCTCTGATCTCAGGAGTTGCTTACAGCTACGGGAATTGGCCCTGCTTTTGTAACTGAGAGAGTGAACATTTACTGGACCATTCTTAATTTTTCCAGTGACACTGCTCACATGTCAGTTGATGATTGTCTCACAGAAATATCTCTTCCAGTAGAGTTTTCCGGTGTGCTATAGACCTGCTCTACAGAGCCCAAAGGAAGGCTGCTAAGCTTGGGAGAAGGATAAAGTGGTGATGCAGCTTTCTAGGAGAGGCTGCACACTGGATACATCATCTTCAGCATCAGTTACCAGCTGGGAAACAGCAGGCATCAGGTAAATGAGTACCTGGTAGTTTTTTCCCCGCCAAAGGCAGACACTACCACCAGTCCAAATTCTGCCCGCAAACTTCTCATGTAAAGTTACCATTTTCTGAACTGTTTTTGTACTACTGTCTTATTTTTAGCTTCTCCACTTTTTTTTTGTGTAGCTTTAAAAAAACCCAGCTGTTGCCTTTTCATCTGTTTAGCAAATGAGGATAGATTTTGTACCAAGTTAGGTATCAAATTAATGTATTTTGAAGAATCCTGTTTCAAGTTCTTCAAAACCATTTCTGCTTGTTTCCCTCTCCTGATATGATCAAAGCACAGTACAACTAGCATTGTCCTGAAACACTTTTTGTAACTTCAGCTTACATCTGTCTCAAGAAGCAGCAAATTGATGGCCCATTACCTTTTACTCTGCTGTGTTCCATTTCAATGACTTTATTAGAAGATGGCAACAGCTGAAAACAAATCTTTAATTCAGTGATGTATGCTGCATGCTCAAATACCTGACTTTGTAGCATATAACAGAAATGATCACAAGGTCAGGCTAACTTACTTTCAGCAGTCTTTGGTCCTTGATATAAAACTCAAGCACAAGAAACACAATGCTGTCTTCAGAAATTAGCATTCAGGAGCAGGGAGGGCTCTAAGCTGGAGAGTGTGTTAGAAAATGGGCCACTGATTTTAAACATTTAATGTGACTGTTTTAAGCAAATTACATTTCAGGTGATGGAACATATAAGAGCAGCTGAATTCAGTCAGGTGGGTTTTGTCTTAGTAGAACAGCATAATAACTTGAAGATTACACACATGGACTAAGAACTACACTAAAGACAGTTCAAGAAATGTCCCATTTTCTCTTCCAGAAAACAGGGATTAAGTATTTGGGTTTTGGTGAAACAGACAGGAAATTTACTGGTTTAGTTTGAAAAAGCCTCAAATAAATCAGTACAACTTCTATCCTCTAACAGTACAGCACTTCTAACTGGAACATAGCTGATTTTCAACAGAAAGGGACACACGTAATTCAACCAGAAGCACACCAGACAGAATATCCTTCAATGTACAGTTAGTAGACACCATGAGCTTGACAACTTTCATTTTGCTGCTCTTCTTAAAAACCTACTACTTTTCTTATTGTTACAAACCTGAATGCAGCTGTCCTTGGAGAGTCTTAAATTTATCCAAGAGCCTACAGTGACACACACATTGGAGAAAAGTAAGGGGAGTAAGTAGGTTTGCATAACTAGTAAGACATTGTATCATCCTACTCCAGCTGTAATTCCTTCTAGCTATAAGACTTTTGCTGTTTTTTTTTAATCAAAACTTAACTGCTAGAGTTAGGCAAAAAGTAATTTATTGCCTGAAAGTTTTCACAGTCATTTGTATTTCACAAAATGAGTAGACAGTTGCATGAGGAAAACCAAAGTTGTTAAAAAAAAATAGTAGCAGTAATTTTGGTCCTAGAAACAAATTACAGCACTAGCTAGCTGCCTTGTGATGTAACTATGTCTCCTTCAGGACACTCCAGTAAGGACTTTACAGGCAATCTTTGGGCCCAACTTGCACTTCTGTCACCATTCTTCCCTTGCAGCACCTAGATCTGTTCGCAGAAGAACACGGTGTCTTCCGGTAGCATCTAATTCCACAGATGTAAGCATAACATTAATATTTTAAATCAAATGCTGCAATTAACTTGTAGGATGTTGAACCCATGGTAGCAGAAGACATCACATTAAGAGTTATTTATGAACACAAATTCTGCCTCCAAAGCTTGACAGAGAAACTGGTGACTTGGGAAGAGCCATTCTCTCCATGTCCTGTGACACTGAAGAATTTTAACCTTGTGAGCTTCATTTATGCATGCAGGAAAAAGACTCACATAAGCGATACCTGAACCTTCTTGCTGCTCTACCCTTAGTACAGGTCCTTTTTTGCTTGCACAGTGAAATGGCATCATGTTAATCAACAGCATGCAACATAACATGTGGCTTGACTGTGGTAAAAGTCTGAGCTAGTAAAAACAGCTGGCTGATAAAATGTGAAGCAGGACAGTGTCTATTATGAGTCATGTTCAACAATTGTTCTAATGAAAGCTACAGAGAAAAACTTGGTGGCTTTGGTTTTTATTTCCTCCCCTCTAGGATCTTCAGGTTCACACAAAACAAAGCATTGCTGTTCAGTTAATCACAGTATTTCACAGGGCTAAAACATTTGTTCTATGGTTTTAACACTTAAACAGTTTAGAATTGTATCTGCAGATGACTACTTATGCAACGCCTCCATCTTACACAGTTCTGGTCAATCAAATGCTGCCTTCTTTGGTAAGTGCTCATTTAACAAGCTATACCTGTATCTAGTTCTTTCCAGGATAATAAAAATACAAAAAATCTGGTTCAATATATATATTTAAAAGTGGGATGTTAGAGTGCTCTAGACTTCTTTTAATCTCTAAAATACTTAGTGTGATTTTCATTTATCCCCAATCTTTTGCAAGAGCTTTTCATTTATCCCCAATCTTTCACAAGAGCTTTTTTTTTTTTGCCTTTTTTTTTTTTTAAATATCACAGACTTGCGCTGGAGTGTATCTGTCAAAGTTGCTAATAGAGAAGTTAGCAACAAAAATTAAAAACGAGATTGTATCTCAAATACTTGTAACGTTTTCTTACCATCACAGTAAGGAACAATCCTTCAGTAGGATATAACATTTGGCTGCAGCTATTTGAGCAATCTGAAGGACATACTTATTTTTTAACTCTGCAGGGAAGATTCAAAGTGGCTCAATTCATTTTTTAGTTCTCTAATTCACAAGAAGCAGCAATAAATTTTAAAAATGTTTATTCAGCTTCAGATATCTCTTCTAAAGATACCTGTGGTATATTTGATATACATCTTCCCTCATTCCTTCAAACATGTTTAAGCTTTGAGGTACTTTAGGACAATATATAAGAATACTTTTAAAAAATAAAAAGTGAGAGATCAGTAAAAAAAAAATTAGGCAAGATAAATAGAAAAATATTCTGTCTTCCTTTCACTATGAATAGTTTCAGCATAATGCACTTCAAAAAGCAAAAGAATCAAGTCACTAAATCCAAAATTAAGTGTATTTCTCAAACAGAACTGACTTAAGCAAGCATTTCACCTGAGTTTACATTTCAGGGATTGGGCCCATAGCAATAGAGAAGACAAAGCATCCAGGGGCAGATCATCCCATGTCATTCTACCCCTTAAAGGAGTACAGGAAGGAATAGGGGGAAAAAATTTTTACCAAAAAAAAAAAAAATCAAACCTTGTCTTGCTGGCTCCATGTGGGCAAAAGATAGTCACTCTTTACAACAGCATCTCCACTCATGCCTGTCAGCCAGTACTGATTCTGCCAGTATTATCTTATCTGCACAAAGGAACCTATACCCAGGGAGGTTTTGGGAAACATTAGCAAGGGTGTCCTGCTGTCCCAGAGGGACCTTGCAGTTTGAGAAGCGTATTCCAGGGACACGAGGCACTTGCTGGGAAGGCCTGAGATGAAACCTATGAGTGTAGAAGGCAGTCCTTTGCCCATTCAACAATAAGGGAATGCCACACTTCCTCTGTGAGATAATTCCAAAGAAACTCTGATTTAAAATGTGGCATCTACTGGCACACATCAAGATTATTCCTTTGGAAAGCATGATTTCACCCTCTCATTTATATGTCGTATTGGAAGACTTTAAGTAAGGTATTTTTACAGTTGCAAAGGTATGTTTTGGGAATGACATAGGCAATGCAAGTTATAGTTCTTTAGGCTGAATGAAAAAAGCTAATCGGAGTCTTCATCATCAAGGTATTCCTCTGCATTACTTAATGTTCGGACTGTACCTGGAAAGAAACAAAGCTCTCTCTTAATCCAGAATAAAATCAGAAAAAGCTTCACATTTGCCATGCTTGCAAACAAGTATCTAAGAAACCTGATTCCTCTATCATTTAGAGCTGTTAGGGCTACACAGATGGGGCTGTAGATCTGGATCTCAAAGGTAGGGCTAAATCAGTAATCACATCTCCTACGTACAAGATTTCTTCTGTTCATGACCTTCAAGAGCCATCTGCTGGCTCCTTGGAGCCTCTACAGCAGAGTTGGAACTCTAATTCTATTTTCTGTATATATTACCTTTAAAAAGCAAAGGAAAGGATGGGTGAGTTGGTGGAAGAGCCTCTATGGTTTTATTCTGAGTGCCTAGCTGGCTGCCATTCTCTGCTTAAAATCAAACTCAAACACATTCCACCTATCCTCTCCCCTACCTCTTTACTCACCCAGATTTTTTCCTGAATATTTATTTCTTAGATCTACTTATGAGCTTTTGCTTTTGAAGGATAGTGAGCAGAAAACAGGAGTATTAAAGTATATTCACCAGATGTGCAGCAGCACGTGGAGAACTACAGAGATAAACAGCATGGGCTTTTTCTGATAGATTATTATTTGCCTACAGATTTTCAAATATCTGGGAATACGAATATGGATTATATATGAAGTATATTATATTGTACTACTGAAAGCCAGGAACCACAAGATCCTAACCAGCCATAGCTTTGCAATAATGTATTAAAACAAAGTACTAAAAATATCAGATGCAGACATAACAAGACTGACATAATTCACAGGAGTGATAACCATGTTATCCTAGACTTCTGGAAGAAGAAAAACGAGATTTAAAATTGACCAGCTCAACTGTTTTGATAAAAGAAATCTAAGAGAATTTTTTTTTCTTTTTGAGTAGGAGAAGCAACAAAGGAAGAAAGGAAAGAAAAGAAAGAAATTCTAGAGCCCTGTGCTCAAGGGGCCATACTTCGAGAAAGGACAAATCCCATTTCTTCTGTATAACAATTATTCCCTCATTCAAGAGCACAAACACCACAATCTTTTTGCATTTCTATGACAGGATTTTACTAGCTTTCATTTCTTAGCATACACTTCAGCAATCATGACATTTGAATGTCTGCGTATACATGTAAAACAAAACTGAACATTTAAGTGGAGGCAAAGTAAGCCTCCTTGGATAAAACAATGTTTTATAGACAGACTACGATAAAAACCATATTTATTAGGAACAGATTTGAAACTGGGGACAGGAAGACTACTGATTTAGGACTGAATCTCTGAAAAAGAACAATTGTTTCACTCAGACTTTGGAAATCCTGAAATGTAGAACCAATATACACAGAAATGAAAAATAAAAAAACCCAAGAAAATACAAAATACAACAAAAGTATACAGATCAGTGGTGTCACAGAGATTATAAAAGGCCAAATTAAGACAGAAAAACAAACAAGAAAGCTAATACTGAAATTCCAGTTAGACTGAGAAATTCAGCTCTTAAGGCAATCAAGATAGTGTATGAGAGCACCAGAGACTGGTGACAGATGAAGTGACTAAGGATGAAAAATCAGTCAGCCATGAAACAAAATCAACTTGGAGTGAAGCAAGTGCACCAGAAGTAGAAGATAAGTTACCTAGTATCAGAAAATGAAACATTAACATAATTTTTAGGGCCATTAGAACAGAGAATACTCCTGTACCAGGTCCCTACAATTGACAAAGATTAAATAAGTGCTCCTAACAGGCATTAACTAACATTAGAAAAAAAATGAAAACAGAAGAAATTCCACCCTTTGTTAAAACTGCTTTCTTCAGTCAAAACTGATGGAAATAATTTGTCAAGGTTTTCTGGAAAATCCTGATATTACCTCTATCAAAAAGTTGGACAGTATTTTTGCTGCAACTGCTCTTCTTGGCCTTCTAAAGCTGCAGTCAGCTATTCCAACATTTAATTCCCATAACCACTAATCACCCACAGGTTAGTATTCCCTCTGTTCTCACTAGCCCTGTGACAATACAGTTGGCTAGACTGCGTATCTCACTGATACAAGCTGTAACTCTGCCTGTGTTTTTAAGTAATTTCTCATTTAATGTGTAATTCACCTAGGGTTTCTACCCTAACTTCAGCCTCCTGAAAGCTACAGGTAACATTAATTATGTCACACTGAATATTCAGTCTTTGTTCAGCTTTTTAAAATAGCCATGTATCTCTAACTCTTTTGTACATGGACACTGTGCCATTAGGAGAGATGAACACAAGTGGGAGGCAGTGAGACAACTTTGATAAATACCTGAAAGTATTCTTTCTTTATTTCTCTATTACAGAGTCACTCAGGGAGACATCGAAATAAGAAATGTAAAAAAATTAGCAGTATGAAAATAAAAGAGAAGCATCTATTGGTGTTTGTTTGGCTTAGTTTGGAAGAACAGACAGCAGTAAGGGGGAACATATGACATTGTTTTACTCTGATACCATGTCCCTTGTGGTATACTACTTTTAAAGCAGTTTCCATCCTTGCTTTCTTTCTGTCTCTCTACATCTCTGAACTCTCCTGCCTCTTGCTGACAAAAGACAGCATGTTGTGTGGAATCAGCAATATTGAATGCAATAAACCACAGGTCTCTATCATAGCCCTGCTGAACTAGCCCGCTCAAGTGAACCATCCCAAACACAACTCCTAGCCCATGTAGCTCCCAAGTGGTTTTTATGGCTATCAAGATATTGATATTTGGCCAAAACATTAAGTGTCCTCTAAAAAGGAAAACTGTATCAGTATAACAAAATCAGAAATACCTGCACTGTGTTTCTTTTTAAGCAGGGAAGCGCAAGATGCATTGGTCGCCATATCTAAAGCCAGTTTCTTCTCATTGTTCTTCAGATCTGTTCTTGCTCCTTTATAACAGAAAATTTTCATCATGAAACAGTCCCAGCTATTTCTTGAGCAATGGTATTACGATACAAGTTTCAGTAGCATGGGTGGAACAGTAATGGACAAGGGAATCTCATCTGTGGACTACTCTGAAGCAGAATAAAAACTGCAGATGCTCTTCCATAAGCTACAGTTGGCTAGGGAACTTCCTGGCTGCTCTCCCTTTCCAGGAAGCAGATGTTCATTGCCGTTCTGGGGTTAAGTACCTAATTTTGTCCGCAAAGCAGGATGAAATTTATCTTAAGCAGGTGAGGTATCTACTTTCCAAACAGCTGCCAGGATTTTCTGTAAGGCTTATAAAGTCAGGCAGGTAAGCTGGCTAAGGACTGTACCTGGGTTATAGGAAAACCCTTAAAAAAATACAGATTAATAAACATTCAGGAATCTAGTCTGCTACACAGATTGTTGAAACCTTGGTGAAGATCTTTACCCTTTGCCAGCAGCATCTCTACAATATCTGCATAACCTTTCCATGCAGCAGCATGCAAAGCTGTGTCTCCCAGTTTGTTCTGTAGAGTTAGAGGGAAAAGCAACAGGATTAAAATACAGCAAAAAAACCTTTCAGCTTGTACGAAGGATGAATAACATCACACCTCTACTGTAAGGGTCTGTTGGTTTAACCTACCTGTTGGTTTAACTCTAGGTTTGCCTGAGTAAACAGAACATCCACTATATCTGCAGAAAACAAGGTGGGGAGAATAAAGAGAAAAATTTAGTGGAAACAAAACAGGCTTTTTTTGTGTTCATAGTATAAATTTTGGTTAAGATTCAATGAAAGAGCGATCCAATCAGCCAATGAAAATCTGTAACAAGCAGACTGCATTGAGCAAACAACCATTAGTCACAAAAAAATGCTACTGCATAAGATACCCAAAACAATACAACACTTCTTTTTGGTCTGTCCTTCTTCCCACTCTGCTTCTAAGTTACACTGATTAGAATGCCTACATCAACAGCAACAACAAAACACACAGCATTTGATGGAGCTGAACCTCCCTTCTAGCTTTAACTTTTCTTTAAAAAAAAATTAGGACATTAAAAAAAATCTGGCTTTATTATTTAGTATTGCAATTTTAGCAATCAGTCTAACAAGCAAATCAAGAAAACCAGAGAACAGTAATTTCAAATTAATTCTCCAATACCTTTGTGGCCTCCATGGCATGCCCAGTACAGAGCTGTGTTTCCTGCTTTGTCTAAGCCATTGACCCCAACTCGATTATCCAAACACTCTCTCAACCAGCTTAGGTTGCCTGAAAGACAAATCCAGTTTTGATGGTTTTTTTCTTTGAAAAGTTAACAGAACCATTAAAGGCACACAGTTCTTTCTGAAGGTTGTCAGTCCCCCCTCCTATGAACTTATGAGGAGAAAAAGTAATTACCAGCAACATTTATAATTCATAAAACAACCAGTGCAAGTCATACCAAACATCTTTTCTTCCACTCCCAGAAGACCTTTACATCCCTATGTAGTTAAATGGATGGTACCAAACTCTTTTTCTGTGTATACAGTCACAGAGTGGCAATTCCACCAGGCTGTAAACTAGCTCAGCTTCTGAAAGCTGCAAAACTTACCAGATAACTTGTTCAAGATACCAGACAACCAAAACAGACAGGACATGTTCATTCCAAATGTATTATTATTTTAGCAGAAAGAAAACACATCATCCTTTAACATTACACAACTAGAACCCAAATCACACTTACCACGTTTGGCAGCTTCATGCAGTGGGTTATCGATAGACTCAGCTTGCTCTGCCACTGAAATGAAACAGAGTAAATTCTAACTACTTCTGAAACTGAACAGATATTTGATGCCTATGTGGAAATAAAACTTTGATTTATTCCAGAAGAACCAGTAATACGTATTTGATTCTAATGTGAAAAGGGATTTGAGAGTGATGGACTAGTCAGATGGACTTCAATTTCCTGTGTATGGGAAAGCAATTCAGAGGAGAGCCTGTGAAAACTTCAAAGAACAGCATCAAATTGATCAGTAGTTACAAGCCACTGGGAATCTGGCAATATTTCATCTCGGTTGTTACTTCCCTTTCTACACTTGTAAGATGGTTTTGAGCAGTTGCATGTGGCTAGGCTTTCACCCTACAGCTTGCCATCTGTAGTTATGAGTGAATTATTTCCCACAGGTCTGTGAAGGCTAACTAAAAAAATCCACTGTCAATAGGATTCCTGTTTGTTTTACAGAGATTTTTTATTTTCCCTGGAAAACTTGCAGGAGGTCTGCAAATCAAAACTGCTTAAACAATGAATGTAGTGATGGGCAGATTGGAGTTCAGGCTTCTGTAGACCTCTTCTTCATCTCACAAGCTTTAGGTTTTACTAGAGAGGAGTCACAAACAGTTCCTGGTCACTGTGCTGTTGCACCAGCAAAAAGAAACTGAACAGCACTGTGAAACAGTTGCAAGTGGGACCACGATCTGAAAACTTTTTTAAAATCTTCTTTTTCAGGTAGCAAACACTGTGACTACGAAGGATACAGCCAAGAAGGACAGTGTACAATCTGAGATGAGTGGGCTCTCTATGCCCTTGTACTATGGCTTGTTACAGAAGGCAGGGAGAATGTGAAAGGGTGTTCCTCAGATCAAACTGTTAACTGTAGTCAGGTGCAATACAGGCAAATACAATGTACATGAGTTACCAGAAATAAAAGTCTCAAGACTGTTGTGGCCTATCTAGATCTTTTCTTACTTTAGTGTGTATTCCTCCCGTAATGCTTGTAACTGCAAGATTTCACATGCTTAACTCTCTAGCTGTGAGTAAAATAAAACCCAAATGCTAGATTCTGGTATTTCGGTTTAAAACAATCTGAACAAACAGTGAACAGAATCCTAAATCAGAGTGGGAGAAGCCAGTCCCAGAGCAGTCATTACACAAGCAGAACATGCTCATCATATTGAACAGTGCTTGTTGTGCACAGTAGAAAGCATTAACATTAACACTGTCTCAAAAGCCTAAAAATGACTTTGCCTTTAGAAAAATCTTGTCGAAAGTGCAGTAATAAGTATTTTTAATACAGATACACTGATTCTGTCATCTTCAGCTTTTCTGTTCACAGTCTTTTCAGATGTGTTACTTCAAGCCCAGCAGATGGAGCACAAGACCCCACCAGAGACTCAGTAGTTTCATGTCTGTCTCCGCCTTTTACAAAAAGGTTGTGGAAGAGCACAGGAGATCACAGTGTTTCAGTGGTTAAGACTAAACCTAGGCAGACCTAATGGGTGGCAACCAGCGGAAGCAGGCCTCTCTGGGGCTTTTGCACAATTTGCCTAAATCAGAAGACACATTCCTGGTACTCTTTGTTTTTAGGGTCTGCAAAGGCTTCTCTTCTGCTTACACATGAAATTTTTGCGAATGTGCAGAGACACCACCACCTCACACACCCCTGCCTGGCCTAAAATGGAAGTTAAACCATTGCTCAGGTAACTTTTCAGTAAAGCACTCTGGAAGCAACTTTTCCAAATGATCTCAATGGGAACACAAACTGAATTAGTAAGTTGGTGGGTTTATTTTAAATATAACACACTTCAATGTTCAAAAGAAAGTTGAGTGTAGGTAAGCATGTGTAAACTATTCTTCTTTTAACACTGACCACTTCTGGCAGATGGCAGAATCAGTCTGGAAGTCACAAACTAAATTGACATTTAATGCCATGGTCTCAATAACAACCACAGGCTTCTGTGAACATATTTCTACTAACTACAAGTCAGGGCAGGGAATCATAGCATTGCTACCATAATGTCTCCTAGGGAAGAAGGGACAGCATGAAGCAACCACAGTTACTAACATTATTAGCAGTTCTGACACAATCTGTCATGTGACACTGCTACTCTGCCTACATTTCCTGGGAGGACTTGGAAGAATTGTGCTGTGTTGTCTGTACTCACAGCTTTTCAAAGTGATTTTAGTTGAATCTGAAAAAGCAGTTTCTAGTCAGTCCAAACAGGTATGGGATATTTAACGTGGTGCAATCCCCCCAAACCCCAATGTTTTCTGTGGCTGAATATATTCATTACAAAGTAACAAATGGCAAACAAAACAGCCCTATTTCTTAAGGGGGGGGCGGGCAAAGGAGGTCTACAGAATTGCTCACAATCTGTTTTAGCTTCCTGTCCATATGCATATTTACTTAACAAACCCAGTATTGATTATCTATCTCTGTAACAAGCCACCCCACACTGTATCAGACTTCTTGATCTCAAAGCTACTAAAGGCTGCAGCTGTCCATCCTTAGGTCTACTTAGAAAAAAAAGGCAATGTACACACTGAGGGAATATAGCCAAGATACTGCTAATGAGAAGATCTTAAAAACTGCAGTATATTCATTGAGGGTATCAAGAATACAAGCCTATAGTTTCATGTGCCATCTGTAAAACCATCCTTTAGCTCCAAGCATTCTTACCCTCAAAACTGAGAGCGTCTCTTGCTGTTAACCTGCACAACCAGAAACATGAACACTTGGCAAACTCAAGCTGTACCTAGGTTATAAAAAACAAAAGACAGCCTGTCCACTGCTGATGTACAGTGGTAACTGGTATCGCAGGTGTATTCTGAAATACTGTGGTACAGGACTGTCAAATGCCAATACTGTGATCAGTTTTTGAACAGTAACAGTTATTTTTATTTAGTGATTTCCTTTGACTGTGAATGATCTTACCAAATGAAAATATTCTAGACATTACCATAGTTGCTTGGAATTAGTCCAGTTCTCCCTTTGCAAGTTCCTTTCCACCAATTTGTATCACTCTGCAGAGAAAAAGGAAAATATTTTAGAAAGGATAAGCCACATCTCAGAAGTATTCAGTCTATATGGGACGTCTTGTAGACTCACCATATCTGAGATGTAAATAATATCTCCTTCTTCAAAGTACAGTTCATCTGGCTTAAAAAAAAAATAAAAAAGGAAAAGTAAACAAAAATCTGAGTGTGTCTACTTAGGTAAAACAAGTCCCTGGATAAAGTAGAACACATTCAGCTCTTCTTTCAAAAGAACAATAACTCAAATTCTGTAGCAACTAGACAACAGCCTGACAGTCTTTCATACTACAGTTTGACTTGCCTACAGCTAACTTTTTGGATCCGACACCTTCGTGAGAACTAAAGAAAAAGACTGTGGCCTTTCCAACAGAGCACTGTGCAAAAAAAGCAGTGAAATATATCTTGTATTTGTTAACTTCATTCTCTTTTTGGTTGGTGCCAGTTCATCAAATCTCTTAGTTCTCAATTATCTTTGTTGCCTTTGGAAGAAAAGAAAAACATCACTTAGATTGCTGATCTTAGATTGCAGGTAAGTGATGCTAGAGGACAAAGCATGCTGCTTTTAAAAAAGAGCTGGACTTAAAGGAAAGTGATGATTAATCAGACAGTTTTAGTCACATTAAGAACCGATATCCATCAACAGGCTTTTTCACAGAAAACATAGTACAGCAAGTCTAATAGGCCAACCCTAGCAGAACTGAAGAAATGCTATTATAGACAAAATTAAAATTAAGCTTCTCAAAACCCTAAAATCTAGATATACTTACCGTTCTGGGCTCAAATGTATACAGGGCCCTGAACACTTTAACCTGCCCTGAAAAAAGAAAAAAGACCAACAAACCAGTATCAGTACCATGACTTCTAAAGACAGCATATACGTACAGCCCTCAAATCCAAATAAATTCCTTTCCTTAACCCTTAAAGCTGCTTGCTGAAGGAATTTGTGCTATGCCTCTGTCAATGAAAATCATGATGAAAAGACTCAACCCAGCAGCACAGGTTCTGAAGGAAATGGGCCAACTGGTCAGCTAAATGCAAGCTTCCTCTTGTGCACACTTAATACGGTCTTCATAGGTCACCATGCAAGTCAACTGTTGCCATCAATTTCTGAGGCAAAGTTAGTTTCGGTCATATACACCCTTATACACACTCATACAAGTTGTATATATTTTATTAATACTATCAGATTTGTCAAGTGATACAGAATTAAGGAAAGAATAAAGAAACAAAGCAATGACCAATATCTGCAATGTTCTCATACATACCTGTAGTTGTTACTAATTAGGAAAATAATGTAGTAGCACAGAATCATTGCATTTAAGAAAAATGACAAATGGTCACCAAGTCCTATTTATGGAATGTACAACTGATATGGTGTTCTGTTCAGATGCTTAAAATAAGCTATAGTGTTTACAATTCTAATAAGTGGGCAATGTTTATTTTAATAGGGCAGTTTTGAAGACATTGTCAGCAGCATCCAAGCCAAGAAAAGATAACCTTACTGCAGAGAAGTACAAATTTAATTGCATAAACTGCAAAAGAAGCATTTCTATAAACATTTTTTTTAAAAATTCGATAAAGGTACATTTCAAGAACACCAAGCAGAAAGTCTTGATGAAAGAAAGCAGAAAGGTGAGTACAGGAGAAGAAACATCTATGTTACATAATTTTATTAGCTGAACTGTTGAAGTCCACTGAACTCAGTGGAGAAATATATTATGCAGACTGTTCTGTATTGTTTACTTTTAAATATCTGAAGTCTTAAGTATGTAGGTTTGTTTACTTTTAAACATGTTAAGTATGTAGCTGTATTTCAGGTTCTTACACTACACTTCACATGTTTATATCGATTAACTTGTGATTAAAGCAGTATTTGGTCCATCAGGACAATGTATTACTTAGACCACACTTAGCTGAGGCTATGTTGTATCCTCAGACAAACTTATGAACTTACTGTCAAAGATTAGTACTGTACAATAAAGTGTGCACACACAAAATCTTTTGTAGTACATTGTATGGAGAGAACTGAGTAACAAGAGAGCAGGTTTCCTTATGTCTCAAGAATAAGCCTTTACCCTTTTGTAAAGAACCACCATTGCTACAAAATTTTTGCCTGTTTTTTGCCAGATGGAGCCTTTATTACCCCAGTATCTAAAGCCTACCCACAATAGTGATCATTTTAGAAAGTTAATTTAAGGGCTTTAGAAATGTCAGTCTAAATGTATATATGCTGACAGGCTTGAGAAGGGAGGATGGTACTCAACTGTATATGCTGCCGTTTTGCAGCATACCTCACAGTCTTGGGGTGACTCTCAAAAGATGTTTTCAAATACCTCTGGATATTCCCTAGCAAGAGCCATGCCACAGCATATGTTTATGAAGTGGTATTTACCAAGGCGTAACTATGAAGCAAAACATTTCTGTAGTCCTCTGTCTTACACTTTTCTGGAGCTAAGTGTATGTAAAAGTATCACCACGAAAATAATCTGTGTAAACTTGCTAGATTGCCAAATGCATGTAAACACTCTATACATGATTCTTCTTCCAATTTGTAACTGTACCCCCATTACAGATCTTATTTTTTAGTAACACCATAGAATTTCAATTTGGCTTTACTGGTTCTCTCTCACACAGCAGCCACTTCCTAGACATAAAAGGTCCAACACTTCTCAGGCCTTTGCCTCAGAAACTAAGTACCTGCACTATAGCAACAGCTAAAAAGGATGAAACCTGTGTTCTGTTCATTACCCATATAGAAATTATGAACAAGGACAGCAGACAGTAATTTGTCCTAAGAGCTTCAGAATGAAATGTCTGAACTGCAGCTGGGGAGAAGCCAAACAAAAAAAAGAGAATGGGATGTGTGACATGGAATACTGTCCCTTCTGCTTGGCTTTCTTACATAGGTGACAGAAAAATGCAAGACAGAACTGCACACTGATGACTCTGGCAACTTTAACCATCACCCACCAATTTTCAAGGTTTTATGTAAGTAAAAGGAGGAAATGGACAACAAAAGGGAAGAGTAAGAAATATTAAAAGGGGAAATGAGAATACAGAAGATAGGGAAAAGCAAGAAATATAGATGTGTGTTGTATGTGTTTCCTGTAATAATGTACTGCATCTGTGTCAACAGGTTTTCTAAACCTACCACACTCTAAGGGAAAGAAAAGAATGGAAACACTGATGCTGATAGAAGCTTTGCTGACATGTTTAAACAAAAGGCAATTAATGGTGGGGGGTTTTGTGGTGGGTTTTTGTCTTTTTGGATTTGTTTTGTTTTAATGCTATACAACTGAAACAGACAGTTACTTCCCCAAATGTCAAGCTGTGGTGTCACACACAGCACAACACATTCTAAAACATTTTCCTGTGATGAAATACAAAGTACAGATTTGCATCTGTAGAACTGCAGGTCTGGTTAACTTTACAGCACCTTATATGGGAGTTAAGCTCTACTCATTACTGGCACCAATCTTCTAAATATTTCCTGATAAACAGACATGAAGGCTTGTTATATTGCTGCATTTAAGAGCCAAGAACAGGACTTTAGCACTTGGCATGGCAATTATTTGTGCCAAATTTTAACGCAAAGTATCAGTCTAGAAGATTTAAAATAACAAAATTTAAGGACACAAAGGGTACATTAGACTTGAATCTTTGTTCTGCAAATACCGACAAATTGTATTTTACTAGGCACATGAGTACCTGTAATCACTTGAAGTACTTTTATCTAGTAATGCCCATCCCTAGGCGTGCAGACAGACTTAGAGCTTGCATTAGCAGGTGTCCTTTGGAATAAGCAAAAATTTAGGGAGCACAGGAGGTCCTCAGGTGCTTTCCCTTACTACCATCTCTCCACTACAAACCACATTGCAAGATTCATATAGGATGGAGAAATAATACATAAGCACTGATTTGGAAGTTGACTGACTGTACCTCCCCACCCTGTACTTCTAGAGGGCAAAAATAACTGGAATCCAGAAGACACATGTAACTAAGATTTCAAGGCACCAGGCAAACATTAATGACTTTTCTCAGCATGATTAATGAGGGGAGTATCCTTTTTAAAAAGGAAAGGAAATGGAGGCACAGTGCAGTGATGTGTCCCACAATAAACCTTTTTCTAAGCACAGGGACAGATTTAAAAGATTCTTTTCAAACCCACACTTTAGCCACAAGACTGTCTTCTCCCTTCTCATGGAATTTGTATTAAACATCTGCAAAACTATGTGACAAATAAAAAAAGATAACTTATTACACATACTAAACAGATACAAATATTCTCAGCATACAAACTCCCCAAGCCACAATTTGCCAAACTCTCCCCCAGCAACACAACAGGATAAAGGAGTCAAACTAACAATTCCCTCTAACCAGCAACATAAACCAAACAGCTTTATCAGGCTGGGCTGACCTCACACCCTTCAAATTATTTTGGATAACTTCTATAAGTTATGCTTTTATGAGGAAAGGAAACAGGCAACTTCTAATATGACCCTCTCCCAGCTAAGTGCATAAAAGAAAAGAAACAGGTGCTAAAAAGTAACAGCAGCTTAAAAATTCAGCTTCTGATATGTACTGAACTGAAACAAGATCACTGCTGTGCTTTGTAATACAAAGTAATAAATAAAAAGACCATTTTCTCAAGAGACTAGAAGCTTTTTGTTTCCTCCTAGCAATTTTGAGGTTTATTTTTAATTAATTGCAGTATCATTAACAGAAGATTGTTTCCAAAGAAGCCCTAAGTGTTTTCACAACAAGGAGTTACTGTTTCTCCCACAGTGATGCTTTTTCTTTTCCACTTCCTTTCAGTTCTTTTACACCAGCTTCTCTGTACCACTACAGACACTAGCGTTAAAATCCCCTTTTACTCAACTTGCCACCAAACCATTCTCTGCTTTCCTTGTTTGCTTTCACTCGAAAAAGAAAAAAAAAAAGGGGGGGGGAAGGACCCACCCATCCATGGCATTACTTATTTATATTTTGAGTTAGGCTGAACTTCCAGCACCAAAGGGGAGGGAAAGCAATTTCATTAGCTGTCAGTTTACCTTACTTCCTCCAGCAGAAGAAAAAAAAAAAAAAAAAAAAAAAACTTTGTGCAAGAGCCATTTATTTTAATTAAGAAAATAATCATGGCAGTAAGCCAATGTTCACAGGAGCTACCAAGGCTTGGCCCCAGTGGAGTGATAGGAGTCTTTTGTTAGCATTTCACACCCTGCTTCATCTGCCTTAGACAGACATAATCACATCTCATTGATGCAAACAAGGTTCTACAAATCAGATATTCATCTTGATGCAGCATCTTTTCATTAGCTATATTTAGAGTGAGCAGTTCTAGACTATCATAAAAATCAGAATAATTAACCTACTGTAAACAAACAGACTCACTGGGTGTCACAAAGCACCATCAGTGCCTATAATACAAAGAATGGGATAATCTCTGTGCTCTAGAAAATCAGAATTGGCCATGGTCATCTACAGATAAATTAGAAAACTTCAAGTCTATCAACTCCCATACAGGTTCAAGCTAATCCTGGGCTAACTGTCATCAGCCATCCTCCTCCTTGCTCCCCTAAGGCTACACAGAAGCAGCTGAGAATCAGGTACTCTCTCTAGCACCAACTTGATTGAAAACAACTGATTTGAATCCCCAGCTGTAACAAATGTACCAAAAAGAGAATATATGCATAAGATTTGGGATGTGGGAGGAAAAAGGACAGTTTACATGTTCCAGGGCCTATGCTGGTTTCAGAGTCTCCTCCCAGAACATGTATAACTGGGAATATGAATTTTGATAAATGTTCAGATGAATTTCTCTGAAGGAAGTGAGAGGCATCTTCTGCGTGACATCACAGAAAGCATGGTGGCAGAAGGACAGTGTGTTTGTTTTGTCAACGTTGGCCTAAGAACCTTCAAAGGAATTACACAGCCTTGCACTGTATACCAGCAATTTGAAGTCACAATCTTTTGGTCAATTGACAATGACAAAGGTAAACTGCAGATCAGAATAATTTGCAATATGCTTGCAGTTTGCTTTAGTAAGCAAAGAGATGTTCATTTTATGATCTGCATGTCTCTTAGGAGACAGGCAATTTTATTAGAGAGACATTATGGCCAGACTGAAACTTTTTTTCTGGCTTCTCAGGAACTGGAAAATAAGGTGCTTTACACCCAGATCTTCAAGCAGGAATAAAAGTAGTGGAAATACGTTTTACAGGAGTGCAGCTTGGATTTTGGCATTTTGATCACAGGGTCTTGCACAGAGACACAACAGAGTACAACAGCATTTAAGGATTGACACAACTGAGAAAAAAGTGGAGTCCCCACTGTTTAGAGAACCATCTTCCACTTCTAAGGAGGGGTTGTTAGAAAGGGGAAGTAAACATAGGGCATACAAATCAGAGTGGAGGAAGGGGGGAGGGTGTATTAAACAAACAAAAAAGCCTAGGAATCTGTTTAAGGACATGTTGAAAAGAATGCAAAAAGTAGACTGGTGTCAGTGTAGATGACAAACTGGGGTAGCCCAGGAACAGTCATGGACTCCACCAGTCAGTAGCTGGTGTGGAAGGAACAAATAGCATTTGTTTACAGAAAATCAGAATTTAAGAATATTCTCACAGAAGATGTATGTGAACACAATTTCACAAATTAATTTTGGCTGGCACAGTTTGATGCTGAAATCTTCTACTACTTATAATTTTATTTCTCCAAATACACAGAATGCCTTCACTTGTAGGAAGCTTGTTTGTGGCCACAGCAGCTTGCAGTAAGAGGAGGGTTTGGGGTCACAAATGCAAGTTTAAAATTCATGTTGAAATCAGACTTGGAACTGTTTAATTGTTCCTCTGATGTTTTCCTCCCCATAGAGCTGACGACCACAGCATAACTCCCTTCATTCACATGCTCACGTCTCCCTAGCTAACAGAAATCTTTCTTTGACTACAGAAACAACCCAAACTACCACCACCTAAGCCAAATTTAAGCCTACTTCAAGAAAACCTTAGGCATATGACTCAATGCAGGTCTACTGCTCCTCCGAATGCGGTCACAGCTCCTACTTTATCTAAGAATTAAGGTGAAGTGAACTTGATTGTGATTCAAACTAAATACTTATACTCAGAATTCTATTTTTAACTGTGACAGTTATGAGTGGCTGCAAAGTCAACAAAGCTACTTTAAGGTAGTAACCCTTTATGTTACATACATTATATTTCCTCCTGCCTCCCTTCCCCTCAGTTGGAATAATTTAAAACTGTAGTTTCCTTGGGACAAAGGCTGGTCTTTCTCCATAAAATGTAAATGATGTGTGGACTCTAGGCCAGGATCAACAAATCTTTACTCCATCTGTTGAATATGAAATTAAGTAAGGTCTCTTTAAAATATTAATATACCACTTTCATCTCCCCAAAGCTGCTGCTGCACACTGTGTAAGGCTCTAATAAAAAAATGCATAATCAGAGAGAGCACTGTTCAAGGAGACAACTAGCAGAAGCCAATATAGCTTGTCAAGTTCCAAGGACTTAGCAAGTAACTTTTGTAAACAGGATTAACATCCAACACAGAATGTTTAAGAGGTTTATGAACTCTGCACATAATGTAGTTTGAGACATCAATAGAATTCTTGAAAGATGGAGGGGAAACCCTACCCTTGCATAGTGCTGACAGAGAAAGTTTCTGCTATTTTCAACTCCCACTCCACTCCTTTGTATCTTCAACAGCAACTCTAAACAGAGAATACAGCTAGAAAACAATAATAATACAAAGCCCAAGTCTAAAACCGCTAGAAATTAAAAGCCCTCTAAAGCCTCCAAAAACAATCATGACCCCTTACTCAAGGGCTAACCACAGACCCCAAAATACTAGCTCAAGTGTTGACAAACATATCAGATGATTGTCTAAAACATATTGATGACAAAATAATCTCTCTAACTGAAATCCTAATGTGCTGTGCATGCCACAGGATTAACAGAAGAGCCTTCCGTCAGATAAAATGCTCTCATGTACTGAAGAAAACCACACAATGCTAAAGCTAGTTGTTTTTTCTCCCTTCACACATTTTTTCCCCCCACTGTCTAGCCATCCAACTCTTAACACCGAACACCCCTGTGATGAGCAGTGAACACTCACTGTTTTAGAAAGGATGAATATTTGTTTCACTAAATATTTTCACTTGCCTACCACCTGCTCTATCTCCTTCCATCTCTATCTAGCCTGCACTCCCCCCCCCCCCCCAACACAAAGGAAAGGACTACAGCAACCAATGTCTTGTTTTCTCTTCTGTCTTGAACTGTAACAATGCAACAGCAAGGCAAGCAGGTTTGCTGCTCCCTGACACAGGTTATAGCCCCTTTTATAGACTGGATACCTGGTAATAGTCAGTGAAGAAAAATTAACACAGCTTGACCAAATGCACCAAGACATTCCACCAACTGCAGTCTAAAAGCTGCCAAAAGAGACAGTATTACGCTGCTGTAGCAACTATTTCACCACATGCAGTTCCTGTATTTATCTGTCTTTAATTAGCACATTTTAACATCTATAACCCTGAGAGATTCAATGACAGTACCATTGACATAACTGATATTAAAGACAGAACAAAGCCAGTCGTACGACTACAGAAAATTTTTGGTGTGTGCTAGAAGACAGTCCATTCCTGAAAATGCCTTGGAAAAAAATTAACACAACAGCCTCCATAAGACTTTCATTCTTCAAAAATTAGGGATTTGGCAAAATTAATCTTATTACCCTTAATCAGCTCCGAAAGCCACTACCAAGAGAGTCTTACTCTCTTCCTCCTCCTTCTTCAGCCATTTATTTCTACCCATTTCCTTTTGCTGTGTCAAGCACTCAAAAGGTAAACGAGCTCAGCAAGTTCATTAGACATAGAAATAACCCAACATAAACAGTCAGAGCACCGATCCAGCTTGTCATGTCACTAAATGGAATGGACAGGGGATGGTGGAGGTGTGGAGAGGATAGGTAACCTGTCCTTTTGACAGCAATCTGCATTTTATCAGATCAAGCATACCACAAAACTGCACCCCAGCAAACTAGCGAGAGACACCTAGTATTAGATGTAACTCATCTGACTTAGCTCCTGCAGGTTAGGTAGGACTATAGCCTTTAACTCCTTAAGAATCTTAGGTTAAATTTAACTCATCTTTTTGCAAATTAGAAAACGGAGTTATCAGCTTCACTGGAAAAATCTACTCTTCTTACACATTTGGCTGTTAGGAGCAACACCACACCCTTTCAGAAGCCCACAGATTTCCTCAGTATGGGTTTTCAGTGAGAGTCCACAACAGCAATGCTTCTGTTACTGTCTTTTTCATTTCAAGTAGGCTGTTTTCAAAGATGCTTAGCAAACTACAGGGCAGAGGAAATTCTCCCAAGGATGAAACTCCACATGGAGGGCTTTACCAGGTTTTGCTCGTGTGGGTAGGTCGAGACTGACGGTTTAAATGGTCTAAACTGGGTTTGCACTTACTTGACTTCAATTAAAAACTTGTTTTATAAGCTGTCTAGTTGAAATACTTGATTAGGCTACGTACTTAACTACTTCTAAAAATGTCAGTATTTCAAATACTATTTTAAGTGTGAAAAACATTGAAATTCAGATGTATTTAGGGATCAGATAATCATGTTTTGGGAGAAAACAACTAGTCCTATCTATTTAATTACATTCCCAATGAATTTTTAACTTTAAAGTAAGAATTTAACCTCTCGTACCGGGAGATGATACACACACTTGATAAACAGCAACTGCATTTTCCAGATCAGTTCCTTATTTAAAAAACTAAACCTAATGACTTAAATTTTGACACAATAATGTACATTTACCTGAAACATGCCACTTCTATTCCAAGGTTTAAAACCCCACAACTTCCAAAGGTTTTTCAATATCATCTTTGAAAAATCTGTGACTGTCACTGATTTTTTGGAACTAACTTTGCACTGAATCTATCTGGAAAGGGTGCAGGAGCAAAAAATTTATGCATCGATGACTAAATGCACCAGGAAGGGCAACATGCACATTTGCACCAGAACGTCAAAGGGCAGACGCACTGAGAGTTTGCTGTTGGGAGCCCTACGGTGGAAAGCAGTGGATGCCATGGGAGAAGGAGAACGTAGCATGGGACCAGACTAGAAAACCGCTTTCATGCCCGTCTCGCTAGTCCAGGCAGTCACAGGGCAAACCTCAAGAGTATTTCGACACCTGTTTCTTAAGAGGTTGAAAGGTTTCCTGTGCGCTTCAGCCTACACAAGCTTCCCCCCCCAGCAGCCGGTGGCGCGGCCGCGGGCACCACAGCCCCCGGGCCTCAGCCGCGCCTCAGAGGCGGAAGGCCGGGGCGAGGGGGCTCTGCGCAAGCCCGAGAGACGGGCGGGAGGGAGCGGGGGGGGTCTGTCCCCGGGCGGCGGCCTTGCCCCGGGGGCACTCTCGAACCTTCTCCCGAGCCAGAGCGGGCGCGGCATCCCGCCCAGGCACGACGCCTGCGTGCCGAGGGCGGCTCCGCCGCGGAAGGGGCTGCCTCCCCGGCCGACACCGAGCAAGCGGTGCGGAGGTTAATGGCGGCGGGGCGGGGAAAGGAAGGGGTAGGCGGCCCGGCCCTGCCCCGCTGCCCCCCGCCCCGGCCGGGCTCCCTGCTCTGACAGCCCAGACCCGACCCCCAAACCGTCCACGTGTCAGCG